TTTGGAGAGAGCATTAAAATCAAAGAAGTTGCCCAAGGTATTCTTCGAATTTTTTTTTTTTTTTTCTGTTCTTTTTCCTTTTTAGTATTAATCGGGGAAAAAAGGGGACAATAATTCCCCGATTTTTCCGTCAGATGAATTTAATTCCGGTGAGAAAGATGAATCGGAGTTGTACAAAACTCGAACCCACGCGCCGCCGTTCTTTTGCTTACCACAAAATGCCCCAAATTCTCTTGAGTCTCCTCCAGATTGTCTCTGCACAAAAACTCATCACTGCACAATTTCTCTACTTCTCTAGCAATTTCGTGAATAAACACATGGGTTTTGTCCACGCCGCCTCTTTTACTCCTTGCTAAAACTCCAGCAGTAAATATCGCCGCCATCCTCCCTGGCGCCGCCGGAAAGTAGCCGCGCGGCCCGTCTATCAGAATTATGTCCCATGGGACGTTGTATATATGGTTTGTTAAATCGTTTATTGCTAATTTACAGTCAGAAAACAAGAGATTCTGCACCGGACTGCATTCGTTTTTCACCTGAAATTTGTAATGCGCCATCAAAGGGTGCAATTCGCTGACTTTGGTGGTGAATTGCACATCCTAAGCTTCGATTCTGGGGCGCTTTTCGTCTAGCTTGGAGACTAAGTACGAGCTTTCGTCCACGAAAACTGTACGGCCGTTGTTGTTCCGGAGAAGGGTCTCGTGGGTGATACCGAAAACAAGGAAATTACAGGGGGCGGCGGAGCACGGCGGCGATACTCTTCAGCTCAGCCGATGACATCCGACCGGAGGCTAGAGAATTTAAAATATAACTGAACGAGAGAATTTAGGACTGAGTTTTACCCTCTTCGTTTCTTTGCTGTTTATCTCTAATATTATGATACAGCAATTTAAAATTCCAATGAAAAGATTCCATAGGCATTATTTTATGATGTAATTAATACATAAGAAAAATATTCCTCAACCCGTAATATCTTAAAAATTCAATCATAATGGTGAAAACGGAAAACATGGATGGATAATGTGTGCGCTGCATTCTGTGTTGGACATGAAAATCTATTTTCTTAATGTTAGTTTCTAAAGTTTTGTTAATATTCATTTTTAGCATCTCTTTAATGTCTCTATGTATATCAATACAATCCCGTGATATTGTTATCTTTTGATTAAACAACCTTAGTTTACTGCAGGCTAAGAAGAATGGATCCTGAGGAAAGAAAAGAGAAATTTTACGTGTCGGAAGACATTATGGTGGACATCTTTTCAAGACTCCCTGTGATATCCCTTCTCCGATTCAAGGCCGTATGTACCCAATGGCGCGACATAATCTCGTCCGCTTCCTTCGCCTCTTTGCACCTCAAGTGCTCTATTTCCAATCCCACAAGGCACTCCATCCTTGTTCGTACCAATTACGAAAGCAAATTAATTCCCTTCGATCCCTTGACCTATTCCCCGTTCTCTAACTTGGACATTTATTGTAATCTTGGCTCTTTTGGGCAAAGAGTATTGTTTGTAGGCTCAATCAATGGCCTCCTTTGTATATGTGGGAGGTCAGGTAAATGGATTTGTCTATGGAATCCTTCCACCCGGCTGTTCAAGAAAATCAAAATCGGTATACATAGGCGTTCAATTTCTTTTTCTGTAGCATTTGGTCATGATCTCATTGCCAATGATTACAAAGTAGTAGTAATTCATTTAATAAGTAGACAAGGGGCAATGAGAACTGGGGTCAAGGTGTGGTCTGCCAATTTAGAGTCTTGGAAGGAGATTCAAGTTGATTGCGATTTTAGCTTTAAGTGGCGTGTTTGTGGTACAATGGTGAAGGGATTTGCTTATTGGATTGTCGGGAATGGGCTTGGAAGTAACAGGAAAATTCTAGTTGCTTCATTTGACATGAGTACTGAGCAACTGCGACTGGTTCCTGTTCCTGAAGGTTATTTTGATCCCTATTGTTTTTATGGATTAATTTGGAAAGATAAGTTTGCTTTGGCAGCATTTGATGGCACAAAAATGTATCAAGTGT